CAGTGTTTGACCCTTTGTTAGTGTTCTTTGTGTTGCACAGAAAAACATGAAGGGGCAGCCTCGATGCTCGTTTTTTAAAATTTTATGAAGCTTCTAAAGCAGTTATATGCAAATGAAATCTTTGTAAAAATCGACCCCATCAGTTTTTTCATGTCTACTGACAAACAGTGGCAGTATATTGGCTTCCCCCATCTTTTTAATGTGAGTGTGTTATCAGTATAAGAAAAATAGATAAGAGCTATTTCTTATCTGCTTGCATGTTTGATAGGTTTTATTTTCTTTCCAAATCGTAGGTTCTATTTCTAAATTAATTCCCAAGAAAGAAAACTTAAGCTGGCAAATTCATAAGCCTGAAATTTCTTTGAATGCATTCCCTGGCTCTTTATTGTTGTTTCATTGTAAAAATTGAAAAGAGAGTGTGTTTGTAGGTATTTTCAGTTGCCCATGATATCATTCTAACTGCTATTTTCATTATTGAATATTGTCTTTCTGCCCTCTTTCACAGTCACACATTTTTTAAACAAAGGAACGTTATTGCTTTCCCAAAGAGTTATACTAACTTACAGTGCCATCAGCATTGAATTGAAGAGTGCTAATGAAAATGCTGCAAATTCAGTGTAAAATAAGTTATGGGGGATAGCTTATTTCAGGGATTTTCACATATCTTTGCTAACAAGTATGAACTCTTTTCTCATCATTACTTTTTTGGATAAGAATCGTTTATAGTTTCCTCCAGCTTCCTATTTTAAATGTTTTCAGGTACAGGCCATTATTTCTTGACCTGAATTTTTTGAGGGGCTGATGACATATTGCTATATCAGGAAGGGGAGAGGCTTTGTCACTGTTTTAAGCTAAAACAAACCAAGGGTTTTTCTCAGTATTGTTTCTCCTTTACATAACAGTATGTCCCCCTTTTATTCAAAAGTACTTTTGATGCTGATAGCTGTTGTTTTGATTTGTATAAGTCAGAGTGGCCTTGATATTTTTGTGCTCTTTCATTTTTGTATTAAAAACCAGCAAATCACTTGTTTCTCAGGAGCCAAAGAGAGAGCAGACTAAAAAAGAAATCCAGGTGCCAACAAGGATGCAGGCACTCAGTGAGTCCACGCAAGAGGCCCCCAAATAAGCCATGGCGCCCAGTCTCAGTAAAACAATTACTGGCTTCAGAGGTTGGTCCATCCCTGTAGGGTAGGACTGATGGACTCGACAGAATCTTAGCAATGTTACCTCCCAGTCTACTTAGTGCAACCAGAATGATTTGGATTAAAATGTCAGTTGTACTCAGAGATCAAATATGTTTCTAACTTTAATTTATTGGACACAAGCTTTTTTGTGTTTTCATGTCTGGGCAATATAGGTGGGACAGTTGGGTGGTGTTTTGGTTTGGTGTGTTTTGTCTATAAAAGCAAAGGTTTATTCCTTGCTGATGCTCTCTGGTCTTCATGGATGAGCTTCTATGCATCTTCACCAGGACCAGGCTGATGGAGCCGCTTCCTGAGGCAGTGCTGGCACGTGGCAGAGGGGAAGGGAGGTAGGCAAGCACACTTGGTGTTCAAGAAGTCATGCATCCCAATTCCACACACGTGTCTTTGGCCAGAGCAAGCCCCGGTCCCCAGGTCTGTGTCCCAATAAAATGGAAATGTGTGGTCCACACAAAAGGTCATCACAGGGAGGTGAAAACACTATATGAGTTATTATAAAGTGTCAACACAACGAGAGATCAGATTTAACAGATAAAAAGCAAAATATGTGACTCAGTAATTGACGACCTATCATAGTATGAAGGTGGAAGAATTAAGAACTAATTCCAGGTACGTGGCCTGGGCATCCAAGTGGTGGTGGTGCCAGCATTGGGAGGAACGGGGTTAGGGGAAGAGAACGGGCTCAGTGCTGGGCATTTTAAGTGTGAAGTGTCATCCACGAAGAGGCACAGTTAGGTCTTACTGGTGTGTAGCTCAGGAGAGACACAACGGCTGGAGAGATGGCAAATTCATCTGCCTAGGAGGGTGTAGTTGACTGAACGAGACCACTGTAATAGGAGGGTATCTAGATGGGAGAGAGCTGAGGATGGGGCCCTGGGGTGGTGCTTTCTGGCCTTATCATGTCCTGCATGCATGGATAGTGGCAGTATTTATGCAACACATTGGAGTAAGTACATTTAGGTAGCTCTGGTCTACAGCCAGCCCGCCCAGGGGCTTGGCCATTGCGAGGGCTGGGGCAGTCGGTGCTTCAGTACCCCTATGCCAGGGCTGAGGAATAGCCACAGAAGAAGGAAACAGGGAAGATCACTGTCAAGGAAACAAAGGGAGGAGAGAATTGTAAAAGGTAAGTAAGATCAGCAGCAGGAAATGCTGCGGAGAGGCTGTGTGGAATGAAGACTGCAAGGTGCCCTGTGGATCTGGCAGCTGGAGTTACTGACGAGCTCAGGAGAGGTGTTCACGTGGAGTGGTGGGGGCAAAGCCAGATGTCAGCGAAATGGGGAATGAAAATAGACCACAGATTCCAACAGCTTACCGTTTTGGCTGAAGGAGGACGAGAGACATGGGTGATAGAGCTGATCATAACGTTGAGGGAGGATTGTGTTACGATAAATGCGATCTAAGAAAGACCAATGAAAGAGCAAGGTTAAGAATAAAAGGGATGAGGTCAGGTGATGTGTGAAATAACGTGAGGAGATGAGACCCAAATCCCAGCCTGGAGGGGGCATTCTTGCCCTGAATTGTAAGGGAGAGGGGTTTGATCATAAGAGCAGTGGGTGTGGCGCACCCGGCAGGTGATGGTGACTCTGTTTCCCCTTGTAGGGAAAGGTGTCATCCCTTGTTACCGTTTCCCTCGCTGGAAAAACTTTCTTGAACATTTTTTGGTGGTGTTGGTCTGCTAGTGACAAAATCACTCAGCTTTTGTTTGAAAATGTCTTTATTTTGCTTTCTTTATGTATTTTTTGTTTACTGTAGAACTCCAGGTTGACAGGGTTTTTTTCTTTCAGCACTTTTGAATCTGTGCCAGATATCCGTGTTTTGTTGTCCTCCTTTTAAGAGTACCGAGTTTTTTTGTGGACCATTAATGTCCTTGTGGCTCATTGGATCCTTTGGGGGGTTGTTTTAAGCTTTGTTAGGGTGGTCTAGGGTAGGTGTTACTCTGGTAATGCTTAGCCTTGTTCCTAGGTATGGCTTTGTTGGGGGGTCTCCACTGGTTGCCTCAGGGGTTCAGGGAAACCACTAGACTCTAGGTTGTGAGAACTGGGACTTCTCCCAACCCCGAGTGGGCTCTGGTGGTGGTTCAGCTTACAGCTGTCTGGCTGTGGCTTCTTCCCTGGCCTCGTGAGGGCCTTTCCCCTAGACCTGCACAGCCTGGTATTCAGCCAGAGATGAGAAGCCTGCATGCAGATCTCTGGAGCTCTTTATCTGTATAGCTCCTGCCTCTGGAAAATTCTGCTTCACAAATCCAGCTGACTCAGCCTCCCCAGTCTCCCTTCTTGTCGTTACAAGTCACCAGGATGTTTGTGCTCTCTGGCTCCTGCACCAGTGTCTCCTAGTTGCCTCCAGGTAGACAGCCAGGCCTGTGGAAGGCTCATCTTACTTGTTTCTCTGAGTACAGGAATCACAGCCCAGTGCCTGTCGTCCCATATCTAAAATAACGGTTTCATATATTTTGTCTAGTTTTTTGTTTTTTAAGCTGAGAGAGATGGTTTGGTACCAATTACTCCAGTAGGACAGGAACAAAGATCTGTTTCTAGATGTAGAAATATGATGTTTTTTGAATCTCGACTCTGTTTCCTGTTTGGTGAAACTACAGCAATAAGCAGCTGTTGGTTAGGCTACCTTGTAGGCCAGGTGTTCTGCGGAAATCCTCACGTGTGGCAACCTGCGTTACAACCAATCACTTAGGACTCCTGCTAAAAATGAGATTCCTGGGCCCTACCCTAGCTCTGCCAAATGAAAATCCGTATAATTTCTGTGTGTTTCAATCAGTCTAAACAGGCTGTGTTCACTAAAGTTGGAGAAGCATTGTTTTACATGTACGCCATCTTGTAAAGCAGCAAGTTAAAGCTGCCTAAAGATGTTAATTAGCTGTAAATCCACCAGCGCCACATGTTTGCAAGGATGTGAAATGAGAACTCGTCGGTCACTGCAAATAAGAGTGTCAGTTGGTCGGACACCTTGGAAATCCAGTCAAGTCAGAGCTGCATTTCCCCATCCAACCCATCAATTTTACCTCCAGCTCTGGGTGTGGGGAGACTCCTGGATGCCACAGAGCATGTTGCAAATGGCATGTTGGCAATAGCTTGGATGGCCAACCAAAGGAACCTGGATATGTAATCGTAATAGATGCACCACTTGAATGATTTGGATATGTAGTGTACAGCATGTGTAGCATACTGTAGTAATTGAATACTCTTCAGTGAAAAATGGAAGAATTAGAGCTGTGTGTCAGTCCATATGGGTGAGTTACAGAAACATGTTTAGCCCAGAAAGCAGGTAGCAGAAGACACTATCTTGCCATTTTCATGTAAAGTTTTAAAAACTTACAAAAGAAAACAGGAAGAAATGCGTAAGAAGGGTCGGCAGTGACTGGGGGAGAAGTAGGGAGGAGGCGACCAGGAGGGGCACACGTGGGACTCTAGCCACATTCCTAAAGCACCGTGAGATGGTTGGGTACACGGGTGTTTGTAATGATACACCTTGCACATTTCTGCGGGTCCCAAATAGTTCATGTGCATTTTCTTAGAGAAGAGACAGGCAACTTGGGTAACTTGTTTTAATCACCCTTTTGCTAATAAAGTTTGTCATTAAAACATAAGTATTTTTCTCTTTCGCCTTTGTTTTAAAATGTTTTCCCCTTCTATTCTCTGGAGAAGTTGAGGATATCCGTGGTCATATCACTTCTCTGTTTCTTTCATTTTAAGTCGTCATTTTAACTCGATACGTGTGGTGTGATCTGAACTCCTGTTAACTCACTTGCTCGTGTGTCTGAGAATCTCGTGCTTTCTCCTCCCACAGGTATTCACGACTCTGTCGGTGACCAAGCGCTCCGGGGGGAGCATCCTGCAGGCTGGCTGCTGAGGTTAAGCCCCAGTGTGGATGCTGCTGCCAAGACTCCAAACCACCGAGGTGTTTCCTTGCCCAAGTCCAAGGTGAAGTTTTCAGGAAGCTTCTTTGGCTTCAACACCTATGTGTCCTGGGCCTGAATCACCCGAGGCACCCTTGGATCTTATGGGTAGGAGGTGGTGAGTGGAAGGCGGGCAGCATCACACTGGGGTCACCATGACGGACTCGAAACTGACCTTCGGCAGTGCATCGTAGGGTGCGTCCATGAAGTCACTGGCCTGAAGCCCCCGCGGTGGGCCGTGATGGAACTACTGGCGAAGCAGTTTTAGCAAGACTCTTTCTGTGGGTTTCTTATCCTCTTTGCCAAACTTCTGTTGTTGATTACTGTTTTCTATTTTCTCCAAGGTGTTAATGATACTAGAGATGAAAAAAAATGTTAGCGCTCGATTTTTTCCAAAGCAAGTCTTGGCTCGAGTATGCTCATGGCTGCCTTGTTGCTTGGGAGGTATGGTTTGGCTCACTTGGAGGCTGATAGGCTCGTCCCATGATCCAGAACTGCCCTGGGGCTCAAATGTTCTGTTCTACTCGACTGACCTGTTCAGTGTCTCCCCTAACAAGTTACATGTTCAAGCAAGTAAATGTGTGGTCGGCTCTGGCCAAATCTGCCCCCTATGTTCCATCACTAGTTACTGTTTTTCGTTCTGCTTAGGAGAGGAAATGGCTACTTGGCCAGCCCATCGGGGCGAAATTCCACTGCACGGACCTGACTGGTCCAGTACGATTGCCATCATTATTCATCATGAGGCAGATGTGCTCCTTTAAATGGGAAAACAATACATGTCTTTTATTGAGTCTGTTGCATGCTGGTCTAAGGGAGCTGAAATG